ATGATAACCACTTTCTCCATTAGGGAATATCGTGGTGGTCGCCTAGAGAGGTCGCAGTGCAGCGTGTATGTGAGGGACTACGAAGCTGTCGCCGACCTCCCCTGGTCACCTGACCTTGCTTTGACCCCGGAGCAGGCCGTGACCCTGGAAACAAAATCTTGCAACCAGTGGGAGTTCGACAAATCTGTCTTCCACTCTACAGTTGCGAGTGAGGTTAGTGTGGAGCGTTAATAATCCACTTTTTGATTTTTTTTTTCATCCACGTAACAAAATATTGCCGATCACGAATGCAATACACAAAACAAAATCTAACGCACGAATATTTGATCATCCACGAAACCACAACATGGCAACCAACCCACAAAATATCATAGCGAAATACCAATACCATTATTTAGGGTATTTTAACAAGACCTTTGCCTCTCTCTCGCCTTCAGTGGAATCTGGTGTGTGACAGGGTTAGCCTCAGCCCCTTCTTCACCAGCTTTTACTTCTTCGGTGCCGCCGTCGGGGAGACACTCATCGGATTCCTTGCCGACAAGTAAATTTTTTGTGTGTGTGAAATCTGAATACATGTCATAGATTTTTTTATTATATATATATTTATTTGTTGCTGCTGTTTGATTTTTTTTCTTTAGGTCTAATTTGTTTATTTCTGTATTTTTCATTTTAAAAATTAGGATTTCGTGGGACTTTGAATCATATATGAATTATATATGTCTTTCACGTTACCTGTGTAATTTGCTGTCTGTTTATCCAAAGTTCCTGGTATTCTTGTGGAAATACTGATATATATATATATATATACATAATATATATATATATATATATATATATATATATATATATATACATATGCATGCATACAAAAACTGTGAGAGAGAGAGAGAGAGAGAGAGAGAGAGAGAGAGAGAGAGAGAGAGAGAGAGAGAGAGAGAGAAGAGAAGAGAAGAGAAAGAGAGAAGAGAGAGAGAGAGAGAGAGAGAGAGAGAAGAGAAAGAAGAAAAGAGAGAGAGAGAGAGGAGAGAAAGAAAGAAGAGAAAGAGAAGAAGAGAAACAAAGAAACAGAGAAACAGAGACACAAAGAAAAAAAAAATATAAGAGTTAAAAACACCCCCAGACCCCTTCTACCAACGGGAAATCCCCCTCCACCCACAGGTACGGCAGAAGATGGATCCTCAGGGTATCCACACTGATCTTCCTGCTGACCGCCACGACCTCAGCTCTCGTGCCCTTATACTCGCTCGTGCTGGCGGGCAGGTTCGTCCTCGGGGTCATCCACACCATCATTGGCCCGGCTTATATCCAGGGTAATGAGATGGTTGTACTTCGCGTGGGGTGGGGGGGGGGGGGGTTGAGATCGTGATGGGAGTGATGATGGGGATGATGATGGGGAAAATGGGAGTGATGATGGTGGTAATGATGATGATAAGGATGATAATGAGAATGAAAATGATAATAATGATAATAATAATAGTGATGATATTGATAATGATAATGATAACAAAGCAACAAATATAATAATAATGATAATAATGATAGTGATGATATTGTTAATGATAATAAAAACAACAAAACAACAACGAAAATAATAACAATAATAATAACATCATTACTGATAACAACAACAACAACAGACACAAAAATCGCTTTCGAAGAACCCCACTCATACCCCCCTCCCCCTCTCTCTCCCCTCCCTCAGGAATGGAGGCGTGTCCTTCCAAACTCCGCACCATCCTCGGCCTCCTGTCCACCGCCCCCTTCGCCCTCACCGGCATGTTCTTCGGGGCGTGGGCGTACCTCATCAGGGACTGGAGGACGCTGCAACTCGTGTGCGCGCTGCCGGTCCTCCTGCAGCTGATTTACATGCCGTAAGTTTTCTCTCATTCTCTGTTTCTCTGTCTGTCTGTTTGTCTCTTCTCTCTCTCTCTCTCTTCTCTCTTCCTTCTTCTTTTCTCTCTCTCTCTTTCTCTCTCTCTCTTTGTCTTTCTTTCTCTTTCTCTTTTTGTCTTTCTTTCTCTTCTCTTCTTCTTCTCTCTCTCTCTCTCTCTCTCTCTCTCCTCTCTCTCTCTCTCTCTCTCTCTCTCTCTCTCTCTCTCTCTCTCTCTCTCTTCTCTCTCTCTCTCTCTTCTCTCTCTCTCTTCTCTCTCTCTCTCTCTCTCTCTCTCTCTCTCTCTCTCTCTCTCTCTCTCTCTCTCTCTCTCTCTCTCTCTCTCTCTCTCTCTCTCTCTCTCCTCTCTCTCTCTCTCTCTCTCTCTCTCTCTCTCTCTCTCTCTCTCTCTCTCTCTCTCTCGCTCTCGCTCTTTGTCTCTGTCTTTCTCTCTCTCTCTCTCTCTCTCTCTCTCTCTCTCTCTCTCTCTCTCTCTCTCTCTCTCTCTTCTCTCCTCTCTCTCTCTCTCTCTCTCTCTCTCTCTTCTTTTTTTGGTGGGATAGGGCTGAATATTTTCCCGCTTTCTCTCTTCCTTGTGTTTCTAAAGTTATGTGAATATTTTTTCCAGAAAACGTTTCTTTGAAACTTGATACTGATATAAGTATTTCGACCATTTCTATCACTCTTTATATTGTCTAAAAAAGAGAGAGAAATTAGTAGAAACGAAGCATTGAACACATGAAAAAATTGTGATGGCACCAGCTGAGAATTTTGATTCTTGTCTAAAAAAAAGAAATTAATAGAAACAAAGCACTGGAAAAGTTGTGATGGCACCAGCTGGGAATTTTGATTCTTGTCTAAAAAAAGAAATTAAAATAAACAAAGCACTGTCCACCTGGAAAAGTTGTGATGGCACCAGCTGAGAATTTTTATTCTTGGCAGAGTGATGCTTCGAGTTACATTTTTGTTGCATTTATCTGTCTTTTTAATATTGACTTTCCGGGTAGATACACACGCCGTATTTTGTATACAGGTCGATTGGTTTTAGACACTGAACCGTTTTCCAATAGTCGTCTATTTATTGCATTAAAAAAGACATTAAGATTTCCGGAAATACTTTTAAAAGTCCTTCGCAATTGCCACCCAGTTTATATACAATAGTTTTTATTTTTTAACGTATGAGAGAGAGAAAAGGGGAGAAAGAGATAGAGAGAGGGGGGGGGGGGAGAGGAGAGAGAGAGAGATTAAACAAGACCGCTTTTTTACTTTTCTTTTTTTCTTTTTACCTTTTCAACCATCCTGGAAAGTTAAATTAAGTTCATAAATGTACAAAGATTACTAGGATTACTAAGTTCCCGAACCGTTCTTCCTTTCAGGTTCATGGACGAGTCTCCCCGCTGGCTGCTTCAGCAAGGGCGCCTGAAGGAGGCAGCGAAGATCCTGAAGAAGGCGGGGCAGTGGCACGGTGTCACCCTCCCCGCTGACAAGGAACTCATGATCCTGATGGAGAAATTCCAAGAACAGGTAAGTACATAGCGAATAGACCTGCTTAACTATACGAGAAAACAAGAAAAAGAATCATAGTACGTATTGAACAGGTAAATATATAGCGAATAGACCGGATAACGAAGAAAATTTGGCTTAACTATACGAGAAAACCAAGAAAAAAATCATAGTACGTATTGAACAGGTAAATATATAGCGAATAGACCGTATAACGAAGAAAATTTGGCTTAACTATACGAGAAAACAAGAAAAAAACTCATAGTACGTATTGAACAGGTAAAATATTAGCGAATAGACCGATAACGAAGAAAATTGGCTTAACTATACGAGAAAACTAGAAAAAAACCCTCATAATACGTATTCATTTTTCTTTTTCTTCCATTCCCAGAGCAGCGATAAGAAGGAGACACCGAGGGACGCAGAAGGCTTCAGCGGACGCGCGAGGAGGTGGTGGAGGGACGTGACGGTGCTGGTGCGCACGCCCGCCCTCAGGAAGATCACCATTGGGCTCTTCGGCTGCTGGTTCTGCACCGGGCTGACCTACTGGGGAATGAGCCTCTCCGGTACCACTTACAGGTGGGCTGGTGTCCCTGTGATTTTTAGTTCGCTTCTGAAACTCTTTGGTTAAAGAGAGAGAGATAGAGAGAGAGAGAGAGAAAGAAAAAGAGAAAGAAGGAGAGAAAGAAGTAGGCTACAGGTGTTGATTATACAGCTCTACGAATGATTTTTTAAAAAGATTCGTCTGGTTTATTTATATAAATCTTTCCCACAAACACATGCAAACCAAAGAGACACTCGCACACCCTATGCAAACACCATCCAGAGATAATAAGCAACAGAACTAATATCCCCTTTTCCCAGCAGCAAGGACCCCTTCACTTACATGGTCCTCAACAGAACCTAATCTTCCCCTTTTTCCCCAACAGCAAGGACCCCTTCCTTCGACGGTCGCAGAACCTAATCTTCCCCGTCTTCCCAACAGCAAGAACCCTTCCTTACATGGTCTCAGCAGCAGAGGTACAAGCCTAATCTTCCCTCTTTCCCAACAGCAAGGACCCCTTCCTTCACGTGGTCCTCAGCAGAACCTAATCTTCCCCGTCTTCCCAACAGCAAGAACCCCTTCACTTACATGGTCCTCAGCAGAACCTAATAATCCCCTTTTTCCCCAACAGCAAGGACCCTTCCCCTTACTAATCCCCGCAGAACCTAATCTTCCCCGTCTTCACAACAGCAAGCATGGTCCTCAGCAGAAATAATCCCCGTTTCAGCAAGAACCCTTCAACAGCAGAACCTAATCTTCCCGTTTTCCCAACAGCCTTCCTTAATAATCCCAGCAGAACCTAATCTTCCCCTTTTCCCCCAACAGCAAGGACCCCTTCCTCTACGTGGTCCTGAGCTCCCTCGTGGAAGTCCCCGGCTACAGCGGCCTCACCCCCGTGGTAGGACGCTTCGGCAGGCGCTCCGTCCTCTCCTTCAACTTCACCGTCTGCGCCGTCGCCATCCTCACCATCCTCGCCACGCCAAAAAGTAAAAGACACTGATTGGTGAACTGTCGAGAGAAAAGATGTGACTGAGATGTGTTATGGTCTGGATGGGAGGATTGTGTCACTCCAATCTTTAAAGA